GGCGGGGGGGGCCCGTGCGGCGGGGGCCCCGCTGGGTCGGCTCCGGTGCCGACCGGGCCGGCGCAGGAGCAGCGGCAACGCGGGGCACAGGCCAGCCAGGCGCTGCGGCGCAGCTGGGGCTCGCGGTGCACCTGCATAGGCCTTCTCTTCATATGATCTGCACAAAGAAAACTGAAGGCTTTCATTGGAATATAAGTTAGAATTCCTAACATTTTAAATGGAGAAAACTCAAAATGACTAGGCAAAACGGAATTGAAACAGGGAAAGCTTATAAATAATTCTGCTGCTGACGGATGTCTCGCTCTCTTTCAGCCAGCTCATGACTTGCAGAAAGCTGCTCAGTCCCCTTCGTTGCTTTGTAGGTTTTTCCTCTGTCACCGCTGAGCTTGCTCTCTGCTCCTTGCTCTTTTCAGCAGCCTCTCGGCTCCAGCTTCTTGCTGTGACTGCCTTCTTTCCCGCTGCTCCCACCAGTCTGGATAACTCGCTGGGAGGTGTGTCCCAGAACACGCTTAGATCTTCTCCAGAGAAAGAGCAGCCTGCTCTTATGCCCTTCAAGCAGGTCAGCGCTGATGCAGTCACTGTGCTTGAAGGACCGTAACGTGAAGCTGCAAACACACTCACGGTGTGTGCTGTTCCTCTCACCCAAGCTCCGCTGCTTGGGTTTCATGCTTGGACTTGCTGGCTACAGCAGGTTTTGGTCAGTGCGTACAGCTCTTCATGGACTGTTTCCGTTGTGCAGCCACACTCCAGCATGCTGGATTTGACATCCGGATAGACTCTATCTAAAACAGCCTGTTCGTCGCCACATCCGGAGGATGTGCCTGTCCAAGGGACCTGTGGGCCTGTGAGAGCAGTGAATAGTGACAGCCAGCTGTGCTGCACATGGAAAATGACTGTGACCAACTGCAGAAGAGAAGGTTTCTAGGCTCCAGCAGGGCAAAGGGGCTGTTTACTGCTACCAAAGCTCAATGTTTTGAGGAAGCACATGACAATATCCTGTTTTATTTTGCCTGGGGTGCTATTAGGCTTACTGATAACAGTGTTACAGTGCCACTTCTTGGTGATCCTGCTTGTTCCTGGTATCTTCATGGAAAGTCAATCCCTGGCAACCTAGGCAGCTGCCCGGAAACCTTGTGCTGCTGCCAGTCTGGAGCTGCACAAGGGCAGAGCGTGTCTGTCCACTGGTGAGAGGAACCTCTAAGCAGTGCAGGATGTGGCTGGCACCAGCTTCTTCTGTTGGTGTGTCCCGTTCATAAGATGGGCTTCATCCAGCCAGACCAGTTCCAAGTCGTTCCGAGTTTCCTCACGGGGACTTGAGGGAGCAGGAGCGTTTGGGAATGACTGAGCTGGGTCGCTGCAGCTCAGTGAGCGCCTAGGAACGTGGGACGTCTCTGTCTTGTGGGGATGTAGTTGAATTAATCTGTGAAAGCCCCCTTGGTTTAAGTCTGAGCAACACGGAGTTTGGGTGAGCCACGTTAGCTGTGTCTTCTGAGTGCTGCAGCTTTGATCCAGCAAAAGGGCCCTTGATCCAAGCTCTTCATATTGCAACAACAACCTCAAAAGCAAAATGTTGCTTTTCCTACCCCAAGCTGCACCAGCAGTGCTAGCTTCTTGGGCTTGCTGTGTTTTTAGTGAAGTGCCTGCAGAGAACCTGTGCTGGCTGCTAACCCGAGCTCAGGACTCGCTTCTTGCTGCAGCTGAAGGCGAACGCGGGGCTGCTGAGCGGGCCCGGAGCGGCGCAGCAGGGAAACCCCTCTGGCCTGGGGCCAAGGCAGCCCGGCCGCTGGGCTGCAGGTAGCCCGGAGCCTGCCGGTGTTCCGGGTGGCTGAGTTTGCCTTGGCTGTGCTTTTTCTCTTCCATCGTGCTCTGTTTTCAGTCTCACTGCTACCGCCTGCTGCTCCACAGGCTTCCAAATGTTCTTTCCAAACTCCTAGAAACACCAGAACACAACGCGTCCGAGCTGGGGCCCCTTCTGTGCTTGCTGCTCCTGCCTTCCACCCTGGGCAGGAACTAACGTGCACAGTGTTGCCCGGTTTTGGGGGTTGGTTTTCTTGATTTTATTCCTCAGTCCAGACAGTGTTTGCAGGAAGCTGCGAGTTTGAAGGCAGTGTTTCTGGAGACTGCAGTTTA